ATATATACAAAATAAACTTTCCTAATTGTCTGGAATCAGACCTTTTGTTTAAAAGCTTTAAATTCAATTCTCCCAGTTTTTAAGAATGTAAAAGTTAAGCTCTACAAGATCACACAAAGTTTCCAGAATATGATATACTTACCACAAATTGCCCTTCAATGTAAGGAGGATCTATTCTTACTAGTTCAGAAAAATTCAGATATTTTAAAAATGTTTTTACACTGATCGAAATTGAAATGACGTTGTGGAACCAGAAGGGAAATCTGTACAGAGAACTTTTCTGTCATTTTTTTCAAGTTGAAGATACCCATATTTTACTTAAAAAGTACAAAATAAAGTTCTAGAGTCATTGAAAAATAGTATAGTATGTTTTGAGGCTGATTAGTACAGAATAATGAGGCTGCTGTTTTCCCCACGAGATTCAGAGTCACACAAAGTACAAGACTTAAAATGTCTTTCCTCAGCCAGGATCAGCATTGTATTAGGAAAGGAGGCATCTGAAAAATCAAAGGAAAAGGCTTACAGAAATGACCAATTCAGCTGGTGAAAGTCCATTCCTGACTGCCCTCTCCCCTCCTCCAGGACTCTCCAGCTAACATGTTTTCCCATAGCTACATCCCCCATCTCAGGGACTCTCCAACTCATATCTATTGATTCATAGCTTGCTATCTCTGTAGCCTTGTAGGAATAACAAGACTGTGTAAAACTGCTTGTTATGTTACAATCAGGGCTCCGCCTTTGGATAGGAATCCACTGACCCGGTGCCAGCATCAATAAGTGCTACTTTCTGCTTATAGCCTCAGTGTCCTGTCTCTCCAAGAATCCTATAAGTGTTGATAACGTCAAGGTCGCAGGTTCTACAAGGCAAAATGACCTGTAAATAAATAAGACCAGTGGTCTGGAAATTCCTCCCTCTTGCAGTCCCCACGTGAAACCTCAGACAGAGGAATCACACACCCCTTACATGGATACTGCAGAGGTATATAAGCTGCACTAAATCTAATCAAGGGGAGCTCGTGCATGGTGTTGTTAACCCCACACACTTTGCAAGCCAATAAATTCTCCTTCTTCTAACAAAGTTATGAGCGTGTCCTTTCCTCCGTCAAGTGTCACTTCCTGAAACAATATGACTAATGTTAGACAAAGTCGTCAATGTTGTTTTCCATTTCACCTGCCCTCCGGGAGGGCAAAAGTGGAAAAGCAGACATAATTGTTAATGTTAGCTTTGCCACATTCTTTAAGCTATACAACAGCTGTTATATGCTGTATTAGGTCTAGTAATGGGACTTTAGTTCTAACGCCTGAATTTCCCCTTTCCAAAATTTTTAAATGTGTTGAAAATACAAAACAGTACTAATTTCTCCTTATGTAATTAGATAGTCTAACTTGGTATTCTGTTCCCTTATTGATTTTGATTAAAATCATAATAGTCTTAGGGGGAAAAAGTTCACTTAAAAGAATACTATGAAAGGGCAAGTGCCTTCACTCACACATTTTTTTTTTCAATGGTGAGATTTTTTTTTAAATTACATTTTTATTTTTCAGTTACAGTTGGCATACAATATATTAGTTTCTGGTGTACAACATAGTGGTAAAATATCTATATAACTAAAAAAGTGATCACCCCACTAAACCTAGTGCCCCTCTGACACCATCATAGTTACTACAATGTTATTGGCTATAAGCTTTATGCTCCAACACACTTTCAACTGGACCATGATTGGTCACTGCCATGATTGGTGTACTTGCTAAGGAAGCTAAGGTCTCATTTAATTACCTTGTTTGCCTTACTTTGGTTCAAAACTAACGGCTAAATTCCCAGGACTTGGTCAGCCCTTAAAAAGTTTATTGAGTTTCCACTTGGTCCTTCCACACTATGTGCATAGATGGTCCAATCACACTTGGCTCATGCCCTCAAGGAACTGGTCAAAAGATAAGCCTTTGAGAGAATGTATGTGTCATGTCAATCCGCCACTGCAACTTGAATAAACTTAGAATGATGCCTCACACATTTATTGTTTATAATGGGGCCAGAAGCTTTACAAGAATTATCTCATGTAAAGCTTATGACAGTTCTGAGTATTATAGACAATCCTCATTTGAAGGGGGCAAAAAACCCACTTAGGCTTAGGAAAGTTAGGAGACTTGTCTAAGGTCAAACAGATACACACCTGTATATTTGCATCTACTGAGTAATCTCTGGGTTTTCTGGAACTCCAGTATCAGAAAGAGCCTGAAAAATGCAGACTTGGATGATGCAGAAGAAGGGGAAGTGTGCGATCATCAGGTACCAGATTCTTGACCAGAGACAGTCTTGACCAGATCTGCCTGATCACATCTCACGGCAAATGGCTCTTGGCAGGTTCTCAGAGCAAACTATGCTAAACCAACCAGGACCAGGTGTGGGGAGAGGGGACTGAGAAATGGAAGAAATGAGAATGCTGTCCAAGCAGCGAAAAAGAAGTAGAGGGCCTCGAGAGGATACCATATCCCTTTGTAGTCCACACGCGTGCCAGGCACTGCCTTGGAAAAGCTACGAGCTCTGCAACAGACCATCCTGAGTCTGCAGAGAGCTAGGCCAAAACTTACCCCTGACTTTGGGGAAAGAAAACACTGCGCTCCCTCAAAGCTAAAGGGCTGATCACAGGGCAACGATGCCACGTGTTCGCCAACGACGCTACCTGGAACTCTCCAGACTTGGAAAAAGACCCAGCCGGGGCTCCTCCTAGCTTCAGGGAGGGCCAAGGACGTCACGGACGAGCGGTGGAGCCTCCGGCGCGTCCCCGCGCACCTTTCTTCCCCTCCCTCCCCGGAGACGCGAGGGCGACCTGACTGCACTGCACAACACACTCGCTCGCGTCCCCCGCCAACGGCCGAGACATGGCGGCTCTCAGACGCCTCTCCTCCTGGCGACGGCTCTGCGCCTCCGCCCGCGGCCCCAGAGGCCCCTGCACTAAGGTAGCCCTTCCTGGCTCGCTCGTGTCGCCTGGCATCTGCGCTTTGCGAGCAGCCTCCCAGGGTGGGGCCCTGGCGGGGGACGGGACAGGACGGGTCACAGCAGCAGGGGTTCGCTGCGCACCCGCACCGCGGATCGCATCTCCGGGCAGGGGCCCCTCTGGAGGCCCAGAACCCGGGGCAGAGCTAGCCACGTCTCGGCGCCACTTCACCGCCAAGGGGGCGGATGCTGGGCACGGCGGGGGCGGAATGCTGCGCCCCGCTTTGTCCTCCCCCTCTGTGGCCCCAAGGGTGCTTGGCGGTGGGAAAGAACCTGGATCCGAGCGCTTGCCTTAGGCGTCTTTCCTGCCTAGCGAAGTCGGTCTGGGTCTGGCGATGCCTCGCGCGCAGTCTTCGGCCACCGACGTCCCTCCTCCCGCGGCCCCTCGGAGAATCCGGGTTAGAAGATTTCCTTTGACGAAACAGTTTGAAAACCTTGTCCCACCTTTACTGCCAACTCTCCACCGAGCGTTATCCCGAAACATTCTCGCCGCGATTGTTGGTTGATGTGTGTTTTTTGCCCCATGCTCTGTCCCCGTCTGGAAGCCCACGCTCAGGTGGCGGTTCCTGTCCGGAGTCCTCAGAGGCGAGTATTGGACGAGAGCGCTAGGTCCAGGAGGGTGGCTTACCTCCGCTACCTTATTACAGCTGGAGTCTCTTTCTTGGAAGGGAAAACGAAAAGTGGTGTTTTTAATTTAGTAGCGTGTTGACTAATAATTCCCAGCTTGAAAGCCTTTCTTGCACACAGTGCTTACTCACAGAGAACTGCCCTGCCCCGTAGCTCTTCTATCTTTCCCATATCCAATATCTGAGAGCTGTAAGTGCAGAGGGGTCAGTAAGCCCCTTAGGTAAATGCTGAGGGATGATTCGGCACTGGAACATTTTACTCCTAAATGCCTCTTAGGAAACATTTTAATCATTGCACGGATGAATGAAATGAGTTCCCCTGCCACTTTCCTGATTCAGGCTTTCACATGAGAGTTATGACATCTGTTTCAAAAGCTTTGCTCTTCCTTCCTCATCAAAGGATGAAGCTGAAACTCTTTAATGTGGTCTTTAAGGCCTTGTACAACCTGCTTTGGCCTCCACCTGCAGCTTGATCTTCATGGGCCTCTCTCCATGGGACCTGATCTCGAATGTCCCTGTACACACTGAGCCTTTCACCCCTCTACACCTTTACTCATGCAGCTCCCCCTTTGTGGATTCCCCATCCTAGTAATTTAGCTTTTGGAGAACTCTTCAAGCTTTCTGATGCACCAGGCAGAATGCATGACCTCTTCATCTGTGCTGCTTTAGAGTGCTGGGCATTGCACTGATATTGAAATAGAACGTGTATGTACCCTCAGGAACAAAGTATACCACCACTTTAAAGGACTGTCTAGTGTCAGTAACTCCCCGTGTTCGCCTTGCGGTTTATTCCTTTCATAATGCGTAATTGGTAGTGTTTAAGATGAACATTCCACTTTTGGTAGACACTGGTCCAGTGCTGAACAGCCAAGGGGAAGCAGAGTTTGCCACTCCAGCATATGCCTTTTTGGGATATTAATTATTTTAAGCGGGTTATTTTCTAGAAGGGACTCAGGAAAAACCTTGACCTTTCCCGCTAACTGCCTAAATTCTTTTAACCCGGATTCTCCGAGGACCTGCTCGAGGAAAGAAAAACCTTGACCTTTCCTGCTAACTGCCTAAAATCTTCTAACCCGGATTCTCCGAGGACCTGCTCGAGGAAGGGAGCTAGTGTTATAGATGACTATACTTTAATATGAATTACTGTGTGATAGTCAAGAGCCTGGCAAGGCCAGTTTGATCAACGCCATCTCAGAGCTCCATTGGTAGCAAGGGCCCAGCAAACGTTCATTTACCAAACATCCACTTTTCTATCTCTGTGTGAATTGCCTTCTTGCCCTTTGAAGTCCCCAGCCACAACAACCACCACCTACCACCACCTCTTGCTCTTTAACTCAAGGTGACATGTAAGCCTCAACTGTCCGATTTTTCCTTAGACCCTGTGTTCTTATGGGACCCACATATGTACATAATAAATTTGGTCATTTTCTCCTGTTATTCTGTCTCATGTTAATTTGATTATTAGACCAGCCAGAACTTAGAACTCTCTTCCTCTACAGCTAAAGCATTTCAACACCTCCTCTTGGTAGTAAAGCATACTCCTCCTTGCAAGTCTGTAAGTGTGTGTATCCACCTTCATGTTACTGAATTTTCCTTCTAATGTGGTTTTCGTCACTTCTCTCCATATGGCCTCTCCTCTCACTTCTGTTTATCAAACTTTGATACTAAAGTGGGGGAGTGTCAATCTTCCTGTGCCCTAATTTATTTAAATGTAAGGTGACAAGGTAATATCACCTGGGTATACACTTCCATATCATTAAGATAAAATTTATTTTAAAATAAAAAAGCAGTATGCTTTGATGGTTTCACTGAAAGATCTTCAAAATGAAGTGCATTTTCATTAAGTTCTAGAGTGTTGAATGATAGGAAAAAGAAATTTAGGTGCAAGAAATAATGGTAGAAGTAGTTAGAAAGGAAAGAGATTTTGGATTAGAAAGTCATGAGATAAAATTTAGATTCAACAGCAGAATCAGGCCTTAGAGGTTAAGTGCAAGGATCTGAAGTAGAGGACAAAAGATATTTGTAGACAAAGTTTAACTTACCTTACGAAGAAGATTTTAAAAAGGAGAAATTGGGTAAATAGAAAAAAATTTGCACTGTAAGAATTATGATTATATCTTACACTTTAGTACTGAATCATTATTATTTCACTTCCCCTGGCCCAACAGTAATAGCAGAAACTAATGGCAATAATAAAACAGAAATTTGCAGAAGATAGGGGAGTGGAAAAACAAAATACATTATGTGAAAATAAAGGAAGATCTTGGTGAAAAAAAATTATTTCCAGAATAAATAGATGTTGAAGCTGTGCAATTCATTACTCTTCATTCTTTTTGGTAACCTCTACAAACTTGAAAGTTGTTTGTATATTTAGCAGATGGTGCTTGAGTCTTTTCATACCATCGTTTTAGTATTTAAAATATATTAGAAGGTAGAAGCCAATTTATGAGCAATTTAGAGCTCATAACTTTGAATTCAGTTAACTAAGGGAAAAAAGTTGATAGATATTATTAGGGACACACTCCCCCACGTCCCGCCAAATCTCAGAAGGTGTTGGTAGTACATATCCCATGACTCCCACAGGCAGAGTGTAGCCCATTATTGCACACTATTGGTTTCTCAATCAATAGATATCAAATATGACTATAACAAATATGTAATAAATGTCAGCAAATATTGTTAACTGAATGTATGAAAAATGAAAAAAAAAAAACCAACGTTGAGTGTCCATAAATTCTGTATTATCTTGAGCTCTTCTCACATTCCCTAGAAACATGAGTCACTTTTTAAACTTTTAGTTACCTGAGTCTTTTCTAAAATACTTCTGAGCTACTATTTTGGAGATGTGAGGCAAGTGTCTCAGTAATTTTTGACTGTCCAGACACCAAATGTCAGCTTAAAGAAAGGAGTGAGATTCTTGCCAAGTCTGTGCTATGTACTTTTGTTCCACCTCATGAACCAGAAAAGCCTCTCTGCATCCATAGGTGAAATGACTTTTCTTCTGACTTCCTCTCAGTGGGACTTGTGTTTCTCAGTGCATGGATGAGTAGTTCAGGGCGACCTCACTCCCTAGATTTCTTAGCTGTAGACGAATCCTTTCATTTTCTTCTTCCTCCCGCCAAGGCCCTGATTCTTTACCATTAACTGCAGATAATGATTAGTCATTTAAAAATGTTTTTTAATGTTTTAGGGTTGTGTTTCCTACTTTTCAACCAGCATGCGTCGCCATGCCACATTTTATACAGATCCAGTGGAAGCTGTAAAAGACATCCCTGATGGAGCCAAGATCTTGTTTGGTGGTGAGTCATAGTAGAGTTTCCCTTTGTAGGGAACACCATTATGTTTTTAGCAAAGCAGGGAAATCACAGTAGTAAAGCTATGTAGATTAGACATGCCAATTATTTTATTACTTTTTTATTATTTATTCATTATTTTATTTATTTATTACACAGTATATTATCTTTTATTAGTGTCCCCTTCCTGAAAATTTAGCAAGGTTTAGCACTTTATATTTTTAATTGTTTTTTCTTCCTTTTGTGTTTCTTTTTTCATTGTTTTGAAAAGTTGAAACTTCAAATGGTGATGTCTTATTAGTGGCTTTAAAAAAATTCCTAGATTTTTGGGAATGCCATTCAACTTAAAATGTTCGCATTGATCTGATTGGCCCATGCCTAGTCACTCCTTTCTTTGATCCTTATTTTATGAGTTAGAGAGCACATAGCATCTATCTGCTATTGAGTCTCCCAAGTTCTGTTGCTTGTTTTTATTTGGAATGTCTTTTAGAACCACTGTCTCATACTCATTAAACTTGCTCCCTGATTCTTATAAATTTTTTGGGGTTTCTAGGCCTTGGTCACAGGAATCAAGTCTTATTTTGCAGGCTGCATTTCCTTCCTTTATCCTTCCTTTCTTCAACTGATCAGTCATTGAGTGTCCATTTTAAACTCAATACTATTTGAGAATTTGTGGAAAATGTAAAGATATGACAGTTATTGGCCTAAGCTTCCAATTCTGCAAAATATACTCACTAATATAAAACAAACATGCTTGAAAAACTGACTGTACTCCTGTCTAAGGGTTAAATTATAAAGCGAAGCAGTAATGAATGAGTAGTTAAGTGTAAGAAGAGCAATGTGTAGCCATATTAATACATTGCAGTCGGCTTTATGCTTATGAATCAAGGATTTGACAGTGACATCTGTTGCTATATATTGCTGTAAAACTTTCAGATACAGCTATGACCATTTATTGAATTGCTGAGATATATCTGTGCATTTTATTTAGTAGGTGTAATAATGTGCTTGTATATTTTATTTTTTATTAAAAGAATAACATACACTTTTCCCTGAAGGAACATTACTCTCTTCACAATTTGTTTATTTTTTTGGCTTATTATAGGTTTTGGGTTATGTGGAATTCCAGAGAACCTTATAGGAGCTTTACTAAAGACTGGAGCGAAAGGGCTAACTGCAGTCAGCAACAATACAGGGTAAGTGCATTTTTAAAACAATTGGTTTGAAAGCAATGACACTTCTCCATAATATTTAACCAAAGTCTATCAATGAAATGAAAAAATTTCCCATTTACAAATGAGCAGTATGCTCGTGCATCAAAAGATTGTGTTTAACAAGCTCAAGGATGATAGTTATATTTACTCAAATATTTTTGGTACCATCCTTCATAAGTAAAGGAGCTTGCATAATTTAATATCTTAATTTGATGTGCTTATATTTTTCTAAACTTCAAATACATTGTTAAAGTTAAAATATATATATATTTTAAATTGAATCCTGCATTTTAAAATTTAGAGATGTTCCTTTATGTTGTATGTTATTACAGATCATTATTTATAAAGAAAGGTGGACATCAATTTAAAATCTGTTTCAAGTCCTTTCTTTTGGTTATGCTGTCACTCTAGATGACATATAAGGAATACCATTAATCATTAAAAATGTTGCTAGTCTTGGTTGAAGGGGGGGGATATGCAGCCAGTACTTAAGATAGTAGAATCACATATCAAAAAGGTCAACAATAAGCCATAACATTTTAATAATGAATGGCATGCACATTAAGATATATTTAGTTGTGAAGGAGAAAGCTATTTTTATACAAAATGATAAATCATTAGCTTTCTTTCAATGATGAAAGACTTTAAAGATCTTAATGTTTTTTTTAAAAATTAACTAAATTGGCAGTTTAGCCTATTATAAATGCAACTTAGAATAAATAGCACGGATTATTGAGGAACAAAATGATTCTACATTTGTGCTCATTTTTCCTTTGCTGAGTTTATTTTTGCTATTATTTTCATCGAGAAGGCTCTCTCACTTCTTCTCTGCATATCTATATCTTTCCCATCTTTCGGAATTGGACTCAAATTACATATCCTCAAAGAAACCTCATCCAAGTATAGAACGTTTTAGCCTTCATTGATCTTGCAGCTTTCTGATTTCCTTTGAAGACTTTTAGCTTTTCTTTGTATGCTGAATTGTATTTATTCTCTATGATATATATTACAGGCCACTCCTGTTACTTTTATAGTAGTTTTCTGTTTCCTACTGTGGTTAGCCCATGAGTCTCAGAGCCACTGAATGCTAGAGCTGGATGGGATTGTAGAGATTACCTATTCCAATTTCTTCATTTAAAAGAGGAAACGTCTATAAATGGAGAAGTAGTTTATTCATGGTCACTTGATCTTTCTTAAATATGTCTAGTGCCCTTTGAGCTGACTTTATATTTATTAAAAATACTTTCGATTATCAGTACTTTGTTGGATTTTCAAGATAGCTCAGTGTTTACAAGGGATGGTGTAGATCAATATACATTCTTTATGAAGAGTAGGTACCGATGACCTATTTCATTGAACACTAAGAAGGCACTTTGCACACCCAATTTGGCTGTTGATTCCCTTAATTGGTGGTGGTGGGGGGTTAAATCCTAGAGGTCTACAGGAGCGAGGGAGTTAAATCCTAGAGGTCTGCAGGAGCGAGGGCATTTGAGTCAGATAGATGAGGAAGACTTAGCGTTGCTTCATTGGAAAACCAATGACATGGTTTGAATTGTTGGGTAAATGGAGAGAGCTTGGAATTAGAAGTCATAATTGTCTTCTTCTTTAGAAAAAAGGTTATTTGTAATGGAAAGATCTGCCTGAATTAGAAGTCTTTACAAAGCTCAGGACAGATGATTGTTTTTGTTTTGTATGTTCATTTTTAATAATCAGTAAGACCTGTTGCCATGAGGTACTGCTTACTTTGGTATAGAGTAGTAACCATTAGTCTTGGTAAGATAAACCCTCCTCCCTTAAGATCACTCAGATGAATCAATACTTTGATATGGATTGATTAGGAAGGTAGGAAAAATTCAGACTGTACCTTTCATTGATTTTTGGAAGACTTTAACCTATGAATTACAGACCCGTGTAAACCAAAAGTTTCACAACAAACTGTATATCAACCAATAGGGCCAAGGAAAGACTAGGTGTGTCATATTTGTCATGTCCATTTCTTCCTGACAAGATTATTTTAGACTGCGGTTCTTAAAGGTGGGGATTTAGAGAACTCCAAAGGCAGCCCCACTTACTTGTGGAAGACTAGTAAATGCTATCTGGTAATATATATGTACCTGTGCTTGTGATTACAATACTATTTCTTGTATATAGTACTGTTCTAATCAGTTATATGAATTCTTTGAGGGCCCAATGAGCAGTTTCTCACTCTAAATAAAATTTTTGTTTCTGCACCAATAATTTTGAATCAGGAGATAAGGGTAAGCGGCTCTTTTGCTGTGCTCTGTTTCTTCTTTGTTGAGGTGGCTGCATCTCTGAAGGGCTCTGAAGATCTCAATAGAGAGATCTAGGCCACTTTGGCTGATTATAAGCATTCCCCCCAAGATTTGGTTATTTTGTCTGGGAAGGGCTAACTGCTTCCTGGGATGTGCGCTTGTACGTCTTCACTCAGCTCATAGAAGATTTCACTTGTCACATATAACTGTCATAATTAACCTTATATCTAAATATGGCATTTTCTTTTCTTTTAATGCTCTTGATATTATCAGAGGAAATATAAATCATGTGACTGAGATTTAAGTATGTCTACTATGACAGTAAAGAAGAAATAGAATTTGGTAAATAGTTGTAACTTAATTTTTATTAGAGTTTCATTTTGGCAAGAATAGCCAATTAGATTTCAGAAAATGAAAAACCAGATTCAGAAAATGAAAAATATTTGCAGAACATTTGATATCCTTCATGGAATATGTTTTGCTTTACATTAATGTGTCTCTTTATTGAATTCTTGGATTTAGACTTCTTTAACCACTAAAGCATTTGAAACCTGAGTTTGTTGTGCTGCAGGAAAAAGGTTAAATCTCTCTTTAGGAATGTTAGAAAAATGTTAGCTACTAATGGCAAGCAAGATAATCGCTTTGAAAGTTCATCAGAATTATTTTTAATATCAAAGACCTGCTAGATGCTTTAATATACATATTTCTCTGTTAGAATTGGTAAGTTCCTCATTTGCAAAAGATCACATATGCTGCACGGGCCTTGCCTTTTTCATTTTTGTATCATTGGTGTCTAATAGGCAAGAAAGACACTCTTATTAGTTATCTAACAGCATTTTTCGAGGCATAAACACTGTGTACCTCGTCAGGTAATAGCCTGGGCTGAACATCTTATGCATTACTTGATTGGCATGCCAGGTTCTAGTCCAGAAACAAAGTAAAGAAAAAACAAAATACACATGATTTCCAAAGCCAAGATGAACAGAAACAGAGAAGTTATCTCTAAACAGAGCTAAGTTCAACTGTGTAATGGGGTGAAAAGCCAAACGGAGATCCATGAAAAAGTGGTTAGAAATATTCCCAGGGCAATAAATGAAGCCTCTGTTTCTGGGAGTTACTCTGGACTTTATCATTGCATTTCTATCTTCCAAAAAACTTCAGATATTTAATACTTCAGAAAGCAAATAGATTGTATCTATCTTTGTGGATTATTTTATTGTTATGAAACAAAGTAAAGAAAAAACAAAATACACATGATTTCCAAAGCCAAGATGAACAGAAACAGAGAAGTTATCTCTAAACAGAGCTAAGTTCAACTGTGTAATGGGGTGAAAAGCCAAACGGAGATCCATGAAAAAGTGGTTAGAAATATTCCCAGGGCAATAAATGAAGCCTCTGTTTCTGGGAGTTACTCTGGACTTTATCATTGCATTTCTATCTTCCAAAAAACTTCAGATATTTAATACTTCAGAAAGCAAATAGATTGTATCTATCTTTGTGGATTATTTTATTGTTATGAAACAAAGTAAAGAAAAAACAAAATACACATGATTTCCAAAGCCAAGATGAACAGAAACAGAGAAGTTATCTCTAAACAGAGCTAAGTTCAACTGTGTAATGGGGTGAAAAGCCAAACGGAGATCCATGAAAAAGTGGTTAGAAATATTCCCAGGGCAATAAATGAAGCCTCTGTTTCTGGGAGTTACTCTGGACTTTATCATTGCATTTCTATCTTCCAAAAAACTTCAGATATTTAATACTTCAGAAAGCAAATAGATTGTATCTATCTTTGTGGATTATTTTATTGTTATGAAACAAAGTAAAGAAAAAACAAAATACACATGATTTCCAAAGCCAAGATGAACAGAAACAGAGAAGTTATCTCTAAACAGAGCTAAGTTCAACTGTGTAATGGGGTGAAAAGCCAAACGGAGATCCATGAAAAAGTGGTTAGAAATATTCCCAGGGCAATAAATGAAGCCTCTGTTTCTGGGAGTTACTCTGGACTTTATCATTGCATTTCTATCTTCCAAAAAACTTCAGATATTTAATACTTCAGAAAGCAAATAGATTGTATCTATCTTTGTGGATTATTTTATTGTTATGAAACAAAGTAAAGAAAAAACAAAATACACATGATTTCCAAAGCCAAGATGAACAGAAACAGAGAAGTTATCTCTAAACAGAGCTAAGTTCAACTGTGTAATGGGGTGAAAAGCCAAACGGAGATCCATGAAAAAGTGGTTAGAAATATTCCCAGGGCAATAAATGAAGCCTCTGTTTCTGGGAGTTACTCTGGACTTTATCATTGCATTTCTATCTTCCAAAAAACTTCAGATATTTAATACTTCAGAAAGCAAATAGATTGTATCTATCTTTGTGGATTATTTTATTGTTATGACTTAATTTAGACAGAGATCTAGAGGATATCAATGGGTAATTGAGGTTTACCCAAGGGATTCTTTAAAGGAATGGTCAAGACTGAGGGAAAGCAACAGAGTATTGAAGAACTCTGAAGTTAGTGACAAAGGACCACCAGCCCTAGGCCTGATGGAATGAGGGGAGGGAACTGATAGGATCTGGAAGAAAGCTTTATACAGAGGACTACCCAGTGTGCTGCAGCTTGCCAGGGTGAGAGCCAGGGGAATACAGATCCTGTCATTATTCTCCTCTTACCTCCTGATCCTCCTGATGGTGCCTCCCATTGGCTGAACCCAGTTGGGAGCAGCTGAACCCAGTCAGAAACCAGAGGGCGAGGGAGCCCTGTGATTCAGTCCATGGAGGTCAGTCAACCCAGGCATAGGGCGGGTTGGAGGTTGCAGAATGGATCCCGAGGGGCAAATAGAAAATATCAGCATGAGGACTTGGTGATTTTCATTTTATTAGAGAGGAGCCAGTGAGGAAGAAGAAAGTGAAATTGAGCAGTAAATTCATTTGACAAATGGTCAACAAATGCTTATTCCGTGCTCCCTGTGTGTTGCATGTGCTTCCAGGTTCTTGGGGTACAACAGTGAACGAAATGGGCCAGGTTCCCTGCCTTGCCTTCCCGTGGGGAGATGCAGACAATAAGTAGTAAACATAACAGATAAATAAAATTTCCAATGTGTTAGATGGTTATAGCACTACGGAAAAAAGAAAAAGAGCAAGGAGGAGTGGGAATGTGAAGGTGGAGAGGCAGGCTTCAACCTGTGAGATCAACAGATTTCCCATAGCCTTCAGGACGAAATCGTAATTTCTTGGTATGGCTATCAGGGTAGATCACAGCCTGGCCTGCCTTCTGCCTTTCCTGACTTGATTTTGCTTTCAGTCCATATTCCAGTCACACTTAACTTACTGAGCCCATTCACACCATTTTGTACACTGCAAAGCTACCTGTCTGTCACTTTCCCTCATCACTTCCGCATCTCTACTCTACTCTCAAAGACTTTTTTTTCTTATAAGTCTGTCGAAGTGTCACCTTCTGTAAGTCTTTTCTGGCCTCTTTCTCCTCTCTAACTCTTGGGTTCTCGGTCTTCAGTGTTCTCATCCCACTTCGTGCAGACTCCTCTTAGCATCTCTCTCTCTAATTCTGTTGTAATTATAGATTTTGTGTATTTTTGTTCCTTGATAATCTCAGAGCTGCTCATGGCCGAGGACCTGCCATGCCAGCTCTAGGGTAGAGTAATAACTTAGTTAATGATTATTGGATGAATGAACCATATAGATGACACAGCTTCATAGGGGAGAAGCCATCGGGCACTAAAGGAATTTTAGGGAGAGATCATAAATGAAGCCTCTGTTTCTGGGAGTTACTCTGGACTTTATCATTGCATTTCTAT